AGACCATGAACCACAGGGGAGGAGGGGGACCCTCCATAAACCACAAGGAGGGAGAGTCAGGTTTAGGGTGTTGTACAGAAGGGGCTTGGGCCACAAAACCCTAAACCCTCCCGAAAACCCCAAACCCGCAAAACCTGAATCCCACACTTCTTGAAGCCTCATGTGCAGGCGTCACCTGTTCCAGTAACCCCCTCCGTCACGCCGGGATTGAGCCACTAACCCTAACAACTTTCTAGTGTCTTTTACCAGTACGGCCCAAGCACCAAAGCCCTTAATTCTCAACCATACCTCTGCCTGTAGACAAACCTTCAACGCGTTTTCTAGTTTTCGGGCCGGGCCAAGGTGACCCGCAGCGCTCACAGAAGGGTCATAGCCAGGTGCAAGTCTGATCAGCCACCTACTTCTAACTTGGGATGTTCCCCCTTATACTAAACAGCTCAAGGGGGATTAGGAGCTGTTAGTACAAGTGGGAACATCCCTACTTCCAACCCGAGTCAGAACCCCCCTAAACCCTAAACCCTAAACGAAGCCCGCCTCCTGGCTGTTCACCGCCGGGCCGTCGGCCCGAATCTCCCCACGGCAAGTGGGGCAGACCTGGCACGGGGCAAGAACCAACCACACCCACGACTGCGAGCACCTCCCCAAGTGCGCACACACACACACACACAAGATATACAAACCTGCCACACGAACCACAACAAGAGGACCAGCAACAGTAACAACCAAGGAAAAGCAACAAGAACTACCTCAACAGGAGAAAAGGAACAGCACAAAGAACAAAAAATATTATTTAATTAATGATATTCAACTGAATTAAACTAAACTAAATTAAACTGAACTAAATTACATTAAATTAAACTAAATTACATTAAATTCAAGTAAAGTATATTATATTATATTAAACTAAATTCAATTAAAAGAATATTAAATTGAACAAATTAAAACATAAAAAATAATAAAAATGAAATAAAACAAAACCAAACAAAACCAAACACAACAAAACAAATTTTTGAAAAAAAAATGACATAAAATAACACTCATTCCAAAAGCCCTTATCCTTTGAAGGGTCTTGGGTCCAAGCTTCCGGGCTTGGGGCCTTGAGGGCCTTGCACTCTGCTGGGTTCTTCAGGTGCTGGCCCAGCCTGCTGCATCACCAGCCAGGACTTCAGGCAGTCCTCAGCTGGGCTGCTGTGTAGGGCTTATCTAGGGCTTCATTCCTAAGTGTGCAGGTTCAATTCTAGGATGGAGGTTAAACTACAGGATATAATCCTTTGCAGGCACCGATGTTGAGAATGCTTGATCACAGGTCTCCCACAGAAGATGGATTGGGTTCAGCGGTTTAAGGGCTTATGGGCTTCAGGGTTTCGAGGTTTGGGGACCTGAGTGCAGAAGGGAGGCTGTTCAGGGCTGAGGGGTTAGGGCTGACAGGGGCTCAGGAGAGAATGTCGCGGGAGCGCCGGAATGAATCGGATTTGGGATTCAAGGCATTCGTTCACAGCCCAATCTGATATCTCCATAGCCTAACACAAAAGGAAACCCATCTTTGAATGGCCAAATGGTCGATCAAACTGCAGCAGCCCCACCCAAACCCCAGACTTGAACCCAAACCCTCGGGTTTAGGGGTTCAGTGTTAAGGTTTAGGGGTCAGGGGTTTAGGAGTTTAGGGTTTAGGGTTGAGGGGTTTAGGGTCTCAACTCAGCTCAACTCCCACAACTCTCCGGGGCTTCCGGCTATGTGGAAGATGTGCCCGCAGGACAGCTTCTTGGGCTTGGAGCCCTCGAAGAGCGAGTCCCTGCCTTTTGTTGGAGGGGGCCTTAGGGGGTGTTAAGGCTTTAGGGCTCTTTAGGAAGGAATTACGGCTTTGAGGGCTCTGTTTGAGGGTTTGCCTTTTTGGCTTTTAGTGTTTTGGTTAGGATTGCGAGCAAGTTGAGGGTTTAGGGCCTGGGTCTAGGGATAACTTGGGGTTTAGGGTTGAGGGTTGAGGGTTGAGGGTTGAGGGTTTAGGGTTTAGGGTTCAAGGTTATGGTTCAGGGTTAGGGTTCAGGGTTTAGGGCTTAGGGGCTGACATTCGCAAACGCAGACTACCTCTTCCCTCTGAGGGGGCTATGGTTTGGGGTTTATATAAGCTTTTGAGGCTTTAGGAGTCTTCAGGGCATTATATACCAGGACGGATGAACTCACAGGGCGGCCGGCAGATCACGCAATGCTCGTTCTCTTCGATCTCAGCGTCCGTGGCCTTGCTGTGGGACAGGAGTCCTAGAGCCCACTCTACTTGAGAGAACCCTACCCCCCGGAATCTCCGAACCCCAAGGCCATGCAAAACCCTAGGTTCCCACCTCAATAGCCCCAAATCTCATGTCCGATGGTGATCAACCAGTAATCCCGCCACGCAATCCCGCCCTTCGAAAACGCAAAAGCGGGGGACTCTTAAAAGGGACTGAATGAAGGGTGGTATGGGCCATATGCCCTTACTTCTTACAACCAACAAGCCTTGAAGTAGACTCTACACCCTCATCCCTAAACCCTGCCCTAAACCTCCCAAACCCTGAACCCTAAACCCCAAACCCAAACCCTAAACCCTAAACTTCAAACCCTAAACCCTAAACCTCAAACCCAAAAACTGGGGGGATCTGAGCTTGCACTGCTTCTGGGGCTCCGGCATCCGGGAAGCAGAGCTCCATGTTCCTGGATTCCGGGTGTACTGGTTTAGGGCTCTTGGATGGGGTTTACGGTTTAGGGTTTAGGGTTGAGGGTTTGGGGTTCAGGGTTTAGGGTTTGGGGTTTAGAGTTTAGGGCTTAGGGCTCAGGGCTTAGGACGTCGGGCTTTGGGCTGAGGGATGAGGGATGAGGGCTGAGGGCTGAAGGCTGAAAGCTTAGTGGTCGGGTTCAGGGATACGGGCTTAGAGCTTCAGAGTTCAGGGTTTAGAGCTTGTTTCCAGTGCTGTTGGGCAGAATCCTTTGCCCGTACACGAAACCCTGAAAGAGCCGAGGGCTGCTTTTTTACCACGTTGGCGGACGACCTGACCCTGTTTTTCTTTTCCCTAACATTGGCGACCCTCTCTTGGCTAAATTACCTGGCGGTTCACGGGCCCAGATGCTGTGAATTACAGCATTTCCAGGTGTTGGGCGGCTTCCACCGGTACTTACTGCCGCAACTTACAGCATGCTTAGCAGCACTTCGCAGCGCGCAGGCACCAACGTGCTGCAAAATGCCGCATTTCCGACCGATCATCAGGACCAACTCTGCTGCAGCTGTGGGAAATTTGCCAAGCAGAAGCGACTTGCAACATCATTTCAACCCCCAGTTCAACCCTTAAACCCCCCCCCCCCCCCCCCCCCCCCACCCCCCCCCCCCTAACCCTAAACCCTAAACCCCTAAACCCTAAGCAACCCCCCCCCCCCCCCCGAAGCCCAACAAGAACCCTGAACCAGGTGAACCAGGTCGAGGGGCATTGAGATCCGCCGGTACCTCCTAAAGCTTCTGAGGCGTTGGGCCAGCTTTCGGGCCACCTGGGCCCGAGGCTCCCATTCTAAGGGTCGCTGTTGGGATAGGGTTTAGGGTTTAGGGATTTGGGTTTAGGGATGTTCCCCCTTTATGCTAACAGTCCTTGGTAGGGATTATAGTACCCCCTTATGCTAAGAGTCCTTAGTAGGGATTATGGCAAGTACCTCCTATCATAATCCCTATTAAGGACTGTCAGTATGAAGGGGAACATCTCAAGGAAGTTACATGGTCCCTTACTACTATTGGCCTAGAATCCCCTTTATTTCCGTATAAGGAAGATTGCTTTTCTTGTTTTTGTTATTTTTTTTTTTTGGGGGGGGGGTTCTTAAGCAAAGAGTAGCTACATGGAAGATTTGTGAGATTCGGCTCTTTGGGGTGCAGGGTCCCGCTCCAAATCTTCAAGCCTCGGGGGCTTCAGGGTTGAGCGTTTAGGGTTTCGACCTCAAGCTTTGGGGGTCCTCCTCGGGATGTAGAGCATTGAGAGTTTCCCAAAACCCTGAACCGCAAACTGTTATAAACCTGTTTAAAAGGGCTTTCTACCTCTGAACCCGAAACCTCTACAAACCCCTGGAACCCCAAGTCTTACACTTTGAGAACTGATTGTCAGATGCCCCCAAGATGAAGGCTCGCGGGCAAGAGCTGTAAATCAGCAGGGGTGTCGGCACCTGAAACCTACAGACAAACCACACCCTTCTGAAGAGGGTTCAGGGTCAGGGCTACCTCCTGGCCCCACTGAAACTCGGCGTGGCCTGAATCACGTCGGCCATCATGTAGATGGGCAGCCGCGAGGGGTTCTGCACGAAGAAGGTGAGCATGAAGATCTCAGAGGCTGGAGATCTCGAGCTTCGGGGGATCGCAAGATTTTCTGTAAGGCAGAAAGAGGTCTGATGTTTGACTTGGTGTTGGGAATTGGGGTGTGGCTTAGGGTTTAGGGATCCCCTCAGGGTGGCCAGACCCTGAACCCACCATTGTAGACCCTAAACCGGGTTCTGCATGGGTCCGCGCTGGGGCCGTCACACGGACATCCCGGCACCATTTCAGACCCCAACATACCCTAACGATTCCAGACCTTTGCATGCAGGACTGCAGGGTGTGTTGCGCGATCACCAAGGGCTGAAGTGGTCCTGGGCTAGGGTCTGCAATGGCAGCCCTGACCCTTCCAGACCTTGCACATGTTGCGGCGTAGGGTGCCACCATTCCAGACCCTCGCAAACTGAGGGCATGTTTAGGGTTTTCAGAAGCGGGGTACTGGGGCCGGAGTCACAGTGACTAGACTACGTAGCTTGCTTTTTCCGATTGAGCCCAAGGCGCCTGTCATGCAGGAACTTGTCTCATGAATGCTATTTGACGCTTGCATGTTTGCTCATGCCTATACAAGTGTTCGTCTAACAGCTTCTGCACTATACGAAATCCAACTCGGCGCGTGTGTACAGGAAAATCTCACACCCGTCTTATCAACGAGTGGATGAGTGCGCCTCAAGAGAAGTGAAATTCGTCACTCAGCTGGTGCTTCTTCTTTCACAACGGCCTCGTTGCTCTCCAAGGCGTCGTTCAGAAGCTTGGGCTTCATGCTCTTGGTCAAGCAGTCAGCCAACTGAAGGTGGGTTGGAATCCATCGCAGGATGTCACCGAATGGTGCGAAGGCTTCGCTCGTCGGTGTCTCGTCTACCCACAGTGCTTGACGCAATGCTGTCATTTCGATAGCAAGACGCTTGTCTTCCACTGGTCTGGGTACCGACGACAGCAAATGATCTGTGAGCGATCTGCAGTCGGAGTACTGCAGGTGTAGCATCTTTCTCGGCGCTACTTCGCTCCAGTCATGCAGTGACGGCAGTTTGCCTTGCAACTCTAGGAGTGTCGCACGGATCCTGTCTCCGTGCTCGGTGGCATGCTGCAGGCTGTACGCTTCACACTGTAGTGTCGCGCGGCAGACTCGTTTCATCGTAGAGCTACCGAATGCAACCAGGTGAAGCTTGTGCTTGGGTGCGTTCACGTCGCGTGCTGTTTCCGCGTCAGTGAGGTAGTGCAACCTCCCCCTCTGGGACTTGTACCCAGCTTCAGCAGCAAAAGAGGCGTCACAAAACGTGACTACTGCGAGGGGGCCACTGCTCCACGGCAGTATCTTGGCGCGATACACGATGCTGCGCTCTGCGTCGCCCAAGGCGAGTGCGACCACACGGTTGGCCTCTCTCATCGTGTCGATGGTCGCGACGGTCACTCGCTGTTGCAATGCGTTGACGCGGTACGCGAGGTCGGGCCTTGTAGCCCGGGCCACCCACGCGAGTGAACCTATGACGGACCGAAGCGCCGTCCTCTGTCCTTGTGTGACAGGTGTCGTCAACTTTGCACCCTTGGGGATCTCGAGGGGAGCGATGGCACGCGTGTTGTCCCTTGAGTTGATCTCGATGGTGCCATCGGGGTGCTGAGCGTATTCTCTGCCACAGAACCTGAAGCTACCCTCTTCGATCCTCCCGATTTTGAAGTGGTCCAGCAACTGCTGGATCTTCAGCTCGCCCTCACCGAACGCTGCCCAGAAGAAGTCGTCCACGTGAGTGCACAGCATAGCGCACAGCCGGCCGCTTGTGTCGTGCGCGTAGTACAACGCGGACATGATCTGGGATGACTTCAGTCCGATGCACTTTGTCTCTTCGACTATGCGAAGGTAGAGGTTTCGGCCGGCGTCGGTCGTTCCATACACTGGGACACGGGCAATCATGTAGCCGGATTCCTGGATTTCCTTGTCCGGAACGCCCTTGGGGTTGCTAGGAGCCTTGAGGATCAGCAATCTCTCGAGCGGCTTACCCTGAAAGTAGGCGTTCGTGATGTCGGCTGCCTTGATTCGCAAACCGAGTGAGGATGCCCAGGAACAAATGAAAGCCAGTGCTTCAGGCTCGGCTGTCGGGGAATCTGCACGAATGTCCTCCCCTGTGGAGATGTGCTCGAAATTCCCGCATGCGACTAGCCTAGCTTTGTATTTGGGACGATAGCCGGGGGTGCCTTTCAAATGTTCATGTTTGTCGGTGAGAACCCACTTGGTGGGCACGCAGATGTGTCCTTGGCTAAGCAACTCCTGCACTTGCTTCTTTGAGCAAGGTATCACAGCGTGAAATTCCTGATACTTGGCCCACTCCGCGAGCATGGCCTCGTCCAACCCCAACTGCACCTCGGCCGGGCTGTTGTGGTAGTCCAAAAGTGAGGCTAGGAAACCTGTTCCAACTTCCTCGTCGTCTGAGGAGTGCATGTCGTCTGCTCGCTCAGGCTCCTCCTGACGGGGCTGCTCTACTTGGGGTGATGGAATACGCGGTTGTGGGAATTCCAAGTCTTCCATCATCTGGTGTTCATCTGCGCGCAACTTCCCCAAGTGATTCATAGTGAACCCAATGATGCTGAACCTCTGCCCTTCATGGGGTTCCACCATATGGAGTTTCTTTGGATCAAAACGAAGGACTTTGCCTCGAGTGGTGTGTAGAGTCCCGGGAACAAGGTTGCCACAAACGTCAATCACTGTGTTCCCCTCAGGGTTTTCTATCCACAAGTGACCTCCTGTCGAATAATTTCCCAAACTCATGGTGAAATTGAGCGACCCCTTCAAATTGGAGTTGTCTTTGTGCAAACTTGCCCGCGATTCGCTTACTTGGATCCCATTCCAAGTGAACTCGGTGTAGCCTGCCTTCTCACAGTGGTGCCTCAGGAAGCGGTTCAAGTAGGTCACAAAACACGGGCGCTGCTTAGTAGGATTAGAAATCCCAACAAAACCACCGTGCCTATAAACACCGAAGCTAGCGGCAAGCTCATCATCCGTTGCGTCTTGGAACATCGCTCTTTTCGTCCTCTTCGGTTTGTGTTCCTTGCACAACCTGAGTAGTTCGAGACAGTGGCTTGTCTCGAAGGCCATTGCTTCCAGGAGCTCGCTTGCCTTTGCTTCTACAGGATCGGTGTCCTGTGCCTCAGCCATCAGCGCGCTGGAGCTTTGTCTGGGCGGGGAACGAGTTCTTTCCCTGCCCGTCTTATCACTGGGCGAAATCTCCTTGCTTGTGATGGCGGGACTCTCGGCCGCTGCGACTCTCATGGGAGTAGAGGGAGCCGACGCTATGCCAGTGTTCGGTCTGGGGGTAGAAGGCGCTGTTACTGGATCCTTATCTCTTTCGTCGAGATAACGTTGCTCTGGACCGTGGACAATGGAACCTGGCAGAACGGGCTCTCCGGTCAGAACTCGACGTGCAGCTACTTCGACCTCATCTGCAGGCCTCATCTTTCTGGCATTGACCAACACAGGCACACCCTCATGCAGCAACCAGTATGCATTCTCTGCCTCGCGCCCTATCACGCGGCTTGCAGTTGACCACACAGTGGAAGTTGAACCGGGCAAATTGTCTCTTCGATAAATGACGAAATCGCCCACCTGGAACTCCATGTCCATGGGAGCTGCATTCCTTTGCAATGCACGAGCAACCTTCCTGGACGAGTCCAAATGCACAAAGGCTTTGCGGGCTTCTTCCCGGGCTCTATGTCGGGAATAGAAAGGAGTGGTCTCATCGAAACGGGCCAACAAAGTTCCCATGCTCTCATCTTCATCCATGACTGAACCTGGTGTCCTAGGTCGCTTGCCTAGCACATGCTGTGATGGGCTGAAACCTTGATGTCTGGACAGGTCATTCTTTGTAGTCACACATTCACTGACTACCATGACCATGTCTTCCCAAGTCGAGGGCTGAATCTCCTGCACTGTTTTCCTTACCAGTGCCTTGAGCAAACCACCATGTCTTTCGACCTTCCCTATGGTCTGCGGAGATTCTAAGGGTGCATTTCGGAGGTGAATCCCATGTTGTCCCATGTAACTTGCAAACTCTCCCTTGAAATGCGTTCCCCTATCAACCACTACATGCTGTGGATGTCCTGCCCACGATACCCATCGCTCCATGAAGACCTGCAAACATTGTCGTGCGCTGGGATTGCCTCCTCCTGACTTTATCAGGGCTACTTGCTGGAAGCTGGTTCCCATGTCGACCATGTTGACTGCAGTGTAGCGGGACCATCGACATCCTTTACTTCCATGCAATCTATGCCAAGTGTGTGATTGAACTCTTTCGGAAACACCGATTCCCCCGAGACTGGATGATGTCGCGGAACTGGTGCAGTGTCTAGGCAAGCCTTACATCGGTGAAGGCGGGCAGCTAGGATGAACTCCTTGGATGCCTTGCTCTGCCTAAGGACCTGCCATCTCTTCATCGGGGATGAGTTCCTGATCTTCCATGTCGGAACCTAAACCTTCCGACCCTACAAAGCAATTGCGTGTGTAAGAGTTCAGGTAAAGCTCCTGTGAAATGTCGCGACATGTGGCCCAGAAATCATGTTCTTCCGTGTCTGCATAGCAACGGGGGCTCATGCCATAGCTCTCAGTCCATGTGGACAAAACCTGGAGTGCATCGTCGATGTTCGGCCCTATCCCGGAAACATTCAAGTCTCCTCTTACCTCGACAGTACTTTCGAGTGTTGGGCATCCATAGGGGCTCACCAAGACAATGCTCACTCCAGCTGTGTCAGCTAGGCACTCACACTCTAGACACAACTCCTCGGTGGGAGCGTCGACCCTCAGAACTATGAGACCGGGCACACCTGTCTCCAGGTTGGCAATGGTCTCGCTGATCACCTGCGCGTCAAGGGATTCGGATACCCATTTGCAGTGTGAAATAAGAGGCTCAGTGGGGGTGAAGGCAATCATGTGATCCGTAGCCACTGCTGCATTGAATGCAATCGCTTGCAACACACGATCTCCCGCAACCATTTCCTGAATCCCACTAAGCACCCTCTTCCTCTGCCTGTTGCTGAGTTTGGGCAATGAGTGCGCAGTGTCACGGGTAACTGCTCTGGGACCATCATGCGCAGGGATTAGCTCAAACTCATCGTCGGAATCCTCAACATCGAACCTTACCTGCTTAAACTCCCCAAAGTCATTAACCCCCTGCAATGACGCCATATATGCGCTCAGCTCATCGCGGTCTGCAAGGGTCTTCGGAACTGTGTCCGGTGCAAAGGCCTTTGGATACAACCAAAGCACAAGGTACGCACCTCCACTTGGCGGAGGTTCGGTTGGGCACACTTGCTCGGCCTTGAATTCACCGCAAACATCCTCGGTACTGTGACCGGGAGGACACACCGTCCCCTGTGGGATCCACACGCCGCCCTTGTTCTTCGGGTTGTCGTTGAGAAACAGCCACCCGATCGGTGTAGGGCCTTTGACATTCCCACAAGGCTTGTATCCCTCCCTCGTGTGAGGGGTCACGGCAGTCACCTTGAAGTTGTGGCGCTCGGACTTGTCCGTGTGTTCCAGATCCTGAGTGGAGAAGGACTTGGGCATGTAGGGGCCAATCCACAACGCCGGACTCGGACGCCCATACAGAAGGCCGCAGAACTCGTGCATCACCTGGTCCGGGAGCAGGTCGACCAGGACTCGCCTGTTCCACGAAAGGCTGGCGTCGTCCGAAGTTGGAATCTCCGTAAGATCCAAAGCGACGATTGCCGGATCCAACTTGATGCGTTTGCCCTCTCCCGGCGGTGCGGGGCCCTGACTCTTCCTCCACTGCGCCCAGGCGGCGTTAGAGTTGTTAGCCGCCGGATCATGGAAGTAGTTCTTCAGCTCCCGCCTGTCCAGGGGTCGATTCTCCTCAAAGCGCCTCTGCCAGAACTCCTCGTCGGCGGCCCTGTTGGCACGCGCCTCCAAATGTGGGGTCCATCGTCTCACAGGTGGCTTGGGTGGCTCGGGCGGAGCCTGGCAAGGGCATCTTGCAGGAGCTGTTCTGCACGCTCCGCTCTCCGTTCCGCCTCCTGCTTGTCCCGCTCGGCGTCCCGGAGCTTGCTTCGAAGTGACTCGACTTCCTTGTCGCGCAGCGCTAACTTTCTCTCCAGGGTTTGTACCTGGGCCTGAACTGGCAGATGACTTGAGGTGGCAGTGAACACACCTGAGCCCGCTTGCTGATGAAGCCTCCCTGTCAGGGAGCTCGGGTCCCACTTCGCCACGTAGGAGGTGTGCTGCTTGCCACGAAGCCCCAACCGAGTAGCTGCCTGCGATGCTGACTCTCCCTCTCCAGGCGCTACTCCCTGCGGATCTGATGGGACCTCTTCCACCTCATCGTCTGCGTCCAGATCAGTGACTTCCTCCGGAGCTGTGCCCGGGGCCCTTTCAGGCTCTGACTCGCAGTGCAAAATGCATGTGGTGCTCTCCTTGACATCGCCTTCCAGATACTTGATGAAGTCGGCTAACACCTGCTCGTAGGCCGCCTTCGCATCGTCTGTGCGATGTGTGCACCAGCTGCAATGCCCGCGGCAAGATCCACCCATGAGCGGCCAGGTCTGTTCGCTGTTGCAATGCTGCATGGAAACATGAAGTCCTTCAACGCGAAGTAGCATGTGCTCAATGAGGATGCCTCCTGCCACGGAACGGTGCCGGTTTTGCTTGCAGACAACGCTAATGTTCATCGCCTGGTAGCCCTGCTCCATTGACTTCTTCACCTTGGAACGGATGGCTCTGCAATGTTGCAGGAATCCAGGGTCTGCAGCTATCGCCTTCATTATAGAAGGGTGGGAACCCACATGATCTCGGAGGCCTCTATCTCGCTTGCGGTCTGCGAGCTCAGGATCCAAACTCCTGGCATTCGGCAAATATGTCAGGTCAAAGAAGATGCCGACGAATGCGCCTCCGAGTTCAAGGGTAGCCTCTGCCGAGCGCATCTCACTAAACATATCAGCGAAATGCTGTGGCTCCCAAGCGTTGCGGATCTTATCGACGGCCTCCTCGAAGTTGTAGCCGAAGGTAAAAATGTCCGCGGCGTGCTTGGGATTGTCTCCTCCCTCGGTGGGGAAGGTCTCGGAATTCAGCTGCTGAGGCCTCGCCTTAGGCGCGGGGCGCTGTGAAGGTGCGATGGCCATGGCTGCTGTCAAAATGGTGTTCTCACCTTGGGGTTCACTTATAGAGTGCGTCTGCATTGAAGAGGCCTTTCGCTTGGTGACCTTGCTGTTTGCGCACTTATCCGAACCCTCTGCTGCTATTGCTCGAGCAGCACCTGCAGGCGGCGGTGGGATCGCAAATCCTCGAACAAGGCGGGGTTGTTTCCCTTGCAAGAGACCATCGGTTAGGCAAATGCAAAGCAAACCTGAGTCTGATGTCCCATGCAACTTGAGTTCAATGGTCTTGTCGGGGTTCGACGGGAGCCTTACGGAGCACGTCCCTAAGTGTAGGTCTTTTGCCATCCCAAGTTGACTCTGGGCATGAAGCGATAGTAGGAGGGGTGCCCCACCAGGGATCTCATGGGAATCTAGCGCCCCACACAATCTTTCCCTATGGGAAACCTCCTCGCCCTCAACTGAATCCAAGGGCAAAAGGCAGAAAGGAAAGGTTCGGGTCCCAAGCGTGGAAGTGGAACCACTCAAACCCTTGAAGGTCTTGGAAGTCTCCTTCGCAAACCTCGTGGAATACCCAAAGCTCGCATACTTGGACATGCTCTCGTGACCCCAATCCTCGCCATGAACCGTTGAGTTACACCCTTCATCCAGGACTGCGAAAACATGTGGGGATGTGCGAATGTTAACCACGGGGAGTTTGCTCAAACTGGGGTTCGTGTCTGCGACTCCCTCGTGTGGTCCGGCAAGCATGGCAACCATTGCTGTACCGGGCCTTCTTCCCGATGAAGCCATCTCCCAACTCGCGCTCGTGGGGCTCGCATCATCCGCATGATCGTCCAGAGCCTCTTGAAGGTAGGCAAACAAGTCTCCCCTCGTTATCGAAGGTTCGGTGACGAAGTGACCCTCAACTGCCTCCTTGAACTGTTCAAGGGCTGGTACGACCACTTCTACAGGCACTCGGTCCCCTGTTCTGCCCACTATAGAGCGCATCATGTCGAAGTCTAGGGTGTTCGTGTCTCGCAGCTGTGCTGCGGCTGCGTCCCTAGCTTTCTTCTCCTCTTGGGGCAGTTCATCTAGGATCATGCCACAAAGCTTGCACTTGATTCGGCTGGTTGTCTTGCTGGAACCTGAACGATCTACCTGGGCATGCGTGCATGTGGTTGGGTCGACCCGAACCTGTTCTTTGCGAGTCTTGGTTACCGTACCACAGGACTTGCATGTGCGCATGTCTATGTACGAATTGCTCCCTGTCTTGCTAAAGGTCTTACAACCACCCCTGCACTTGGGCCGGAAACCGGCACTGGATGAGGCGGTGCCTTCAGCGTTGGCTGCGCGGTCAGCAACGGGAGTTGGGGGCATCATCGTACTAAGAGGGATGTCTCTTCTACGCACTTCTATGGGGTCCGTGTCTTCTACCACATAGTGCTCATGCACCCAGTTCAGGAAATCACCCAAACACTTGGAAGGACACTTCTGTGTTTGACCCCAAAGGACATCCCCAGGATAGGTGTGCAGCACTCGTTCATACGTCAGGCCTTTGTGATGACCAAAAGTGAACAAGGTGTCAGATCCTGGCGGTGGGCTGTCACGCATGGCGGTGGCTTCCGATCTGCGAACACGAGGACGCTCTGAGGGTCCTCCGCTCCTTTCGGCGGGATAGCCCTCCATGTCTCTTGAAGTGTTGGAAAGGTGAATGGCAGGGGTCTCATCGTCCGATGCGTCACTCAGCGCGGCAAGGTAGGCTTGTGAGGAGGATGCCATCCCGGGCTTCCCGGGTGAGGCAGACTTCTCTGCACCTGGACCACCCTTACTGGAACCCTTAGGACCTCCAGGACTACCCTTAAACCTGCATTCAGCGTCACCGGCCCAATGACCGATTGCGCCGCACCGTAAGCATCGGCTGCGAGCCTTCAGCTCGGCAAGTTTGGCTTTCCTGTCGGCGATAGAAAGATTGGAAGGAGGGACCCTACCACCCTTCTTACCGCCAGACTTACCAAAACCCTTACCTTTGTTACCCTTCACGTTGGCAAGTGTGGTTTGGGCTGCGTACGCCAGCTGCAATGCTTCGGCGTGCTCCTCGCCTGGCTCGCCTCCAAGCTCTGTCTGCATAGCTGTATATGCATTGAGAGCCAAGGCTAATGCGCTGTCATCAACCCATTCGCCTTCGTCTTCCTCGACCTCATGTTCCTCGGCTACATAGGCCTGACTTTCTGGCTCCTGGTACTCATACTCGTCATCCTCCATGAAACCCTGTGTCATGTAACCGTACCGAGGCTTCTGCTGAAATGAGGTATTCTCCCACCGGGGCTTGGACCATGTTCTAGCGGCAGGCTTGTCTTTCTCAACGAGCAAGCGTTCACGCATATGCACAACACTATGATGCTTGATCAATACGCGCGCATACTCATCTACTGTCTCGGCTTGTGCTGCGGTACGCACCATGAGCTGCTCTTGGCGCGACAAACCAGACAGTTCCACAAGGAGATTGGCACGCATGGCTTCTGACAACCTGACTTCTGGGTCCAATTCCCTTAGGGTAACCCACCAGCGCTTTCGCCGGGAAATGTAAGACAACATCGGCTCCCCTGATTGTTTGGACAAGGGACCTGTCAGCAACTGGCCTTGCCTGAACAATTCCGATGCCTCTTCCCCCTGCAAGGGAAATGCTTGGTCCTTGACCTTCTGAATGAGAAGATCAATGCCGTCGTGCTTCAACAACCTCTCGAGACCTATGTCTCGGGCGATAAGAAAGGCGTCGCCACGGAGGCCTTCCAGCGTCTTCTGAACTGCATCAGACATGTCAAGATCACTATCGCGGACCGAAGCGAGTGTGGGGACAGGCTCAGTCTCAACCGAAGCTTGCCCGTCGTCCTCAACCTCATAATCTTGTGGCTGTTGTTCTTCTTCGCCACCGTCTCCTGACGACATGGACTCCGCACCGGCCTGGCGGCCGCGCCGGCGTCCTGGGGCACTTGAAGGACTGGCTGCCATCCCACTGCTCTCATCACCTGTGTGACGGTCCGGGGATCTTATGCCACCACCTACCCACTTTCGTGGGGATGCAGAACGGCTGAGTTGGTGGCTAGAACGGAGGTCTTTCAAGACCTCTCGACGCTGCCTTTCACGATGCTGGGATACACGGGCACGTGTGCGAAACTCCCAGTCGTGGAAGGACGCTGCGGAGCCGCTGTAAATGTAGCTTCCTGACTTGGTTTCTGCTGGGGTGTCAAGGCTAAGTACAGGGTCGTACTTTAACCCAGCTACCGACATGGTGTCGGATTTGCGCAGTGCAGTGGTCTATTGTAGACTGGCAATGCTGACGTTCTTTTGGCTTCTTGGCTCACACCCAAATCCCCCTTAGCTTCTCTTCCGGACGAGATTGCTGCGAGGAATGAAAAACGTGTCACTGAGCTCCACAGCTCCGCTACCAGTTTCAGAAGCGGGGTACTGGGGCCGGAGTCACAGTGACTAGACTACGTAGCTTGCTTTTTCCGATTGAGCCCAAGGCGCCTGTCATGCAGGAACTTGTCTCATGAATGCTATTTGACGCTTGCATGTTTGTTCATGCCTATACAAGTGTTCGTCTAACAGCTTCTGCACTATACGAAATCCAACTCGGCGCTTGTGTACAGGAAAATCTCACAAGGGTTTAGGGTTTGGGGTTTGGGGTTTAGGGTTTAGGGTTTCGGTAGGGCTGACTATGGCAGTTTATGGTATGGGACCACACTGCAGGCTGCCCCAAACGTACCCTACGGCTGATCAACTCAGCACCAGGCCAAGAACAGCGTCATGGAAACCACGTCATGGATCAGGTCCACGTAGAAAAGACAGACCTTCAACATGACCCTGTGAACTGGGTGTCTGGATGAACTGGGTGTCCGGATGCAAGGTCAGTTCCAAAAATGGCAGTCCCTTGCCCGGACCCTGCTATGACTTTTCGGGAACCCAGGCGACCACAACCGAGCAGAATCGACCATACCGTGGACTTTGGGGTCCAGCCTTCAGACCCATTAAGGGGTTAGGGCTGCCTGCATTCCAGATCCCACCGGGCACCCTGGGCAACAGGGAACCTCAGCCCTTCACAAAAAGAGCAAAGGAATAAGGGTAGCGTGGGGGCTTCCTGTTTCTTGTTTCGCCAAGGCCGTGGGAGTTGCTTTTGGACTCGTTGTCACCGAGGGTTTCCTAAGTGGCAGCTTAAGCCCCCTAAAAAACATCAAACCCTAAGCCACCTAACTCCCCCAACCCTCAATCACCCTCTACGAGGCTGGTAATTTCTGACCCTCAGCCCCCTGAACACCCCGTTAAGTATCCTCTCTACAACCCTCTAAACCCTGCATGCTCTCGTTTTTGATGGGCAACCAGGGAATTAGGTTCCTTGGAAACCTCCTGATTCCCTGGCTCCCTATTGAGAGCTGGCAAGTTTAAGCTCCGAAGGCTGAGTGCTCAGCAGACTTGGCCGGCCAACCATTCTCAAGCCTAGCGAGCCAGAGAGGGCCCCCAAAGACCGGTTAGTGGCTCGGGTTTTGGACTTCGGCATCTTCTCAGAGCCAGGGTTCCAGAACTCTATTCACGCAGCAAGAAATCATACGGTGTGGGGGGGGGGGGGGGGGGAGGGACACGTGAAATAAGGCAGCAAGAATCCCCTAGCTCACCCTTCAGCCCGTTTGAGGGGCTTGGCTCTGAGCGTGACACAGCTGCGCACCGGCCTCAAATCGATCATGTGGATGGAGTACTTGCACATGGAGACCAGAACGACGCTGCACATCGTCAGTGCCTTGGGACATGAATACCATCACTGCCTTGCACACTATGGAGCCCTCAGAACTGCGCAAGCTTCCACGGCTTTCCTCGACATCCTTGAGGTGATGAACAACCCTAAATCCCTGAAGCCCTACAGCCTGAAACAAAGAACTCTAAAATCCTAAGCCCTAAAGACTCAACCCGAAGCCAGATTTTCCTCCCAACCCTCAACCCCCGAATCTCCACCGAATCTCCACGATCTCTGGCCTCAAAAAGGATCCAAGTGAAGAAGGTGGACGACTTCGACCTCGGGCTACAGGAAAAGGCTTCTAATCCCGTGGCTTGGGGCCTTCCGAGGCCCTACTAGGGGTTTAGGGTTTAGGGTTTGGGGTTTGTGGTTTGCGGCTTAGGGTTGCCCTAAGCCCCTAAACCTGCGAAACCTCAACCCTCAACCTCGAGACATATGCCATGCAGCGTCCATAACATGCTGAAAAGGAGGCTTCAGGGTTGAGGGCTTCAGGTGGACAGCGTCACCTCTCATTCTGCAACAACTCCGGGACTTCCTCATGACCCTAAATGGGGGCTTACTTTTTGGGGTCCTTATAATAAGGGGATCCTACTATTTGGGGGTGTATTTTAGGGGTCTCCCATATTCGTAAACCCTCCAAATCAAAACCCCCGAACCACGAGCAAACCCGAAACTCCCAACCCTTTTCGTGCTTCCGACAACCCTACTCGTGCCCAAAGCCCAAAGCGCTAAACTTTAAGCCCAGGGAGCCCGAAAACCCCTTTTCAACTTTTCAAACACGGAAGATGAGACCCATTAGGGTGGATTCCTTCCCATTCGTCTTGATTTCGGGTGTCCTTGGCTGCCTGAAACACCCTGGGCATCGCACGCCACGCTGTAAAAGTAGCTCAGCGCCAGCAGGTCGCAGCCTCTTGCGGAGGGGGCTGGGAGGTTTAGGGTTTAGGGTTTAGGGTTGAGGGTTGAGGGTTGAGGGTTTAGGGTTTAGGGTTTAGGGTTTAGGGTTTAGGGTTTAGGGTTTAGGGTTTAGGGTTTAGGGTTTAGGGTATGAAAGCGCATGGGAGTTGAGAGTTTGGGACTTTGGGGGGGGGGTTTAGGGCAGGGGCTTGAGGGAACTTAGGGCTTGGGAGGGTTTAGGGTTTAGGCTGGGATTTTTGCTGCAAGCTCTTTCCGTGGTTTGAAAGGCACCTCAGCTTTGAGGGCAACCTGTCCCCCCGCGATTTCAGGATCTTGGGGCGGACAGCAAGGGGAAATGCGAAAGCACGCATGGGCAAACCCCAAAAAACCCAATACCCAAAACTGAATCGACCCCAAGCCCGGAAGAGAAGACTTCTCCACCAAGCCCTAAAACCCTAAAACCCTAAACCCCTAAAACCCTAACACCCTAAAACCCTAAACCCTAAAACCCTAAGAAAACCCTAAAAGCCCTGAAACCCTGAAACTCTTAACCCCAGAACCCCCCAGCCCTAAGCCTCGGTCCTGGGGCCGGGGCCGAGCAGCAGAGCCATGAGCCCGACGAGCTTGATGTTCACGATCAGCCGCGGCACCCCGACCTTCGACAAAGACAAGGGCTTGGGGGTTTGGGGGGTTTGGGGTTTAGGGTTTAGGGGGTTCAGGGTTTAGGGTTTGAGGGTTGAGGGTTTAGGGTTGAGGATTGGAGTCTGGGTTCAGGCTCCGCGGGGGATTGTGGGTAGGGTTCTTACGCCTGGGGGCGGGGGGGGTGCCTTTTTGGAGTCGGAAGCTGGAAGGCGTGACACCCTCAACCCAAGAAGCCCTGCTGAAATCCAGAACAGCAGGGCTTGGAGCCCAAACTCGGCACCCGCAACACGGCCTCGAACATGTGCGAGACGCGGATTTGCGTGGTGAGGTGGAAAACCTGCGTCGAGCACGTGATTCCCGATCCGTTTTAGCAGGGGTGTAGGACTTGGGGCTTGGGGAGTAGGGTCAAGAGGCTTAGAATCTCCCCTCCCATGTACTCGAGGATGGTGACAAGCGGGCTCGGGCCCCTGAAAACAGGAGGCCACAACATCTTGGTATCTGGAAGCCTGTGCCCAGAAGAGTCAGGAAGGCTTCCACAATTCCATAAGCTTCAAGTAAGCTCCAAACCCTCCTAAACCTTGGAATCTTCACCCTGCCCTGCATCATCCCAAACCTTAAGCTTCAAACCAAGAGCCACTCGCAACGGCTATACTCCCCGTGGAACCTTAATGAAAACTAACATGTGAAATATCCTCTTGGGTTTTATATAAACTAATATAAAAAACAATCCCCAAGGGGATATAGACGGCCTTCATGAAGATCACGCAGCAGATATACTGAATCAGGAAGACGGTTCCCACCTGGGCTCCGTCAAACATTTGGGGTTAAGGTTTAGGTTTTGGGTTTAGGGTTTAGGGTTTAGGGTTTGGGGTTTGGGGTTTGGGTTTTAGGGTTTTGGGGTTTTTCGTTTTAGGGTTTTAGGGTTTTAGGGTTTTGGGGTTTTTGGGTTTTAGGGTTTTAGGGCTTTTGATTTTTAGGGCTTGGATCTTCGAGCTGTAGTGCAGGATTGCCTTCTTGGCCTCTGACCCCGAAATCGTGAACACGCCTCGACCACACCGCAGCTTTAACCTAAACCCCCGAGTCCTAAAATCCCTCCCGCCCCCGCGGGGCCACCCCCCTAAACCAGCTAGAGAAGCAACGTGCAGCCCCGCGAACTTGGGTTGAACGAGATGAGATTTGTTCGGGGCTATCGTGGGTAAAGGTGGGGACGTTCAGGGTACTCAATAACCCAAGCAAAAGCTGCACTTATGATTGGGTTATAAGTACCCTGAACCTCCAAGTGGAGGGGGTTTCATGGACTCCGACACCCGAACCCACAGTGAGGGCTCGGGCTTCGCGGTTGTCGATCGTGGGGGCATAGAAAACGAGAAAGAGGATGGTGTCTGCCTCAGCATGCCAGGTTTGCGGGTGTGGGTGGAATGCTTTTGGGTGGAATAGTGCAGAACTCGGCCGGGTGTGTAAGGTTTAGGGGCTTGGGTGTTTGAGGGTTTGGGCCGCACTGCCGACACGGAGGCAGCTGCTAGGCAGAGAGCTGCCCTAGAGCAAAGTCTGTGATGGTGACTCTGTGGGGGGAGAGAGGTGCTTGAACTTACAAAAGCTCCTGCCTTGAGGGCAGCAGGGCTCACGGTCTTTAAAGCATTCTGGCGGCCCAAGACCCCCACCCTGTGGCGGGGACTTCTCGAAACTGCGACGACCCCAAAAGAAAAGACCCTAAACCCCAAACCCTAAACCCTAACGCCCTAAGGCCCTGAACCCTGAACCCTAAACCCTAAACCCACAACCCGAAACCCGAAACCCCTAAACCCTGGGCGTACCCTAAAGCCTGAAACCTAAGGCCCCAAATCCTAAACCATAAGCCCTAGACCCTAGACCCTAGACCCTAAACCCTAAACCCTAAACCCTAGACCCTAAACCCTACAGACCAAAACCCTAAACCGGCGGGCGCCCACGCCAGGAAGCCCCGACCCGAATCCACCAGCTGCTCCACCTTCTGAAGAGACAGGATCAGAGCTTAGGAGGAGGCTGGGGGTTTAGGGTTTAGGTTTGGGGCTTGGGGTTTGGGGTTTTTGGGGTTTAGGGTTTGGGGTTTGGGGTGTAGCACGGGTCAGCTGAACGCAATAGTGTGAAGACATGCCCACCCCAAGGCCACCCTATCACAACTCACTGCGAAACCAAACCGGAGCCAGCCAAAACCAAGCCAGCCATTCAAAATCCGCGAACCCAAGCCGGAGCCAGCCCAAACTAAGGCAAGCATTCAAAACTTACACGTCGAACACTCTTGGAGGATTCTGAAACTAGTTAGAACAGCCCAAGCCTTTAGTGACTAGACTTCTGGGTTTTTCTTGGGGCCATAAGGCAAAGGATTCCCCTTCAGGTTTACGCGAAGGGGACGGGCCGAAGGGCCCTCTCACAGAAAACTCAGGCGTGAACTTGCAGGTTGTGGGTACTGGGTCCATAAGGCAAAGGACTCTCCTTCAGGTTTGCGCGAAGGGGACGGTCTGGGCCGAAGGGCCCTCTCAATAAGGCGAAGAGGTTGCACAGCCAGGGTGCAGTCTGGCAAGAAGCCAGAGAACCAGAGCCAGGTGAGAGGTACCAGGCCAGGGCCAGAGCCAGGCAGCTTCGCCCTGGCCCTGCTGGCCCTGGTGCTGGCCCTGGCCCTGGACCTGGCCCTGGCCCCGGCCCTGGCTCTGGCCCTGGCCCTGGCTCTGCTGCCTGGCTCTGGTTCAAGGCGGTGGCGCTAACCCTTGACCCTAGCCTGGCCCTAGCTCTGGCCCTGGCCCTAACCCTGGCTCTGGCCCTGGCTTTGGCCTCCCCTGGCTCTGGCCCTAATTCAAGGGGCCCCTGGGCCCTGGCTTTTGGCCTCCTGCCCTTCTCTGTGCTTGGCCGCCCCTGCCTGAGCCTGAACCAGGCCAAGGGGCCAGAGCCAAGGGCCAGCCAGACCCACAGGGCCAGGGCCAGGGCCAGGGCCAGGGTTCCAGGGCCAGGGCCAGGGCCAGGGTCAGGGCCAGGGCCAGATCCCAGGGCCAGGGCCAGGGCCAGGGCCAGGGCCAGGGCCAGGGCCAGGGCCAGGGCCAGGGCCAGGGCCAGGGCCAGGGCCAGGGCCAGGGCCAGGGCCAGGCCAGGTCCAGGCAAATTGAAAAAGGAAACCCCCCCGAGGGTTTTAGGGTAATAAAATATCTATAGTGACTATGCTAGGCGACTCTAGCTTGGCGACCCCTCAGGGGTGCGGTTGGCAGGCTCTGCAGCCCAGCAGAGCCTGCCCTGGTCTCGCTGAACGCTCGACTGCGCCCGCCTACCCCAATAGAGCTTTGAGGGGGGGCGGGCGGGTTTGGGGTTTAGGGTTTAGGGTTTAGGGTTTAGGGTTTAGGGTTTAGGGTTTAGGGTTTAGGGTTTAGGGTTTAGGGTTTAGGGTTTAGGGTTTAGGGTTTAGGGTTCGGTCGGACTTGCGTTGTGCAATCACTGAAGCAAGGCATTGCCTACTGGAGCAACACAACTAATCTATGCATCGCGGCTCAAGTTGAGAATCATCTCGTCTATCCACTGTGGACAAGGATCAATCGAAGCGATCCTAAAATTGCTGAGTTCAAGATGAAGTGGCGATTTAGGGTTTAGGGTTTAGGGTCTAGGGTTCTGGGTTTAGGGTTCAGGGCCTCAGGCCTTGGGAAGAATGGATTAGAAAAGAATAGACCCCCATGCCAGGCAGAGCTTCAATACACCCAGGGTTCAAAATTCCACTAGAGGGCGGGCTAAATCATTCCGACTTGGTACCCACTCTACCTATACCCATGATTCTTCAAGCGAGGAGAACGTGGGTCCAGCGGTTCGCCGTGGTCATAGGGGTTTGGGATGTCGAAGTCTAGACACTCAGCCACTACATCTTCTGCACAGCTTCCGAGGCCAATGGGTCCCTAAACCCTAAACCCTAGGGCTACATTCGACCTTTAAACCGCTGGTAGGTTTACCTTCGCCGCCTCCACGTCTCGCAGCGTGCCGATGAAGACACGTAAGATGATTTTTCCCAGCAGCAGGAAGAGCGCGAACCTCGGAGATTGCAGAGACGTCCCCCGGAAGCACCTCGCCAGTCCCTGAATCTTAACGTGCCCAATCCTGAACATGTAGGTCTAGGGCTTAGGGGCTTAGGGTTTAGGATTTGGTTTCGTCGCAGAATTATGCTGTATGGTTTAGGGGGTTCAGGGTCCAAGGTCTAAATGGCCACCGGGACATGAGTTGGCGTTCTCGACTATGTTGGAGATTGCACGTCTTTTCTGCCTCACCTCAAGTACTAGCCTCAGTCGACCACTGGAATTCGGTGCCTGAGCCAGGCATATACGGGCCCAGAACAACCTCTTGCATTTAAACCTGGTGGCATTTCCCGGCAACATTACCAGCACCATCCGTTATACAGTGTTATGGTGACCGAACGTAAGCTGGTCGACCGCCACTCACTATTATGGTAGATGTAGAAGAAAGAAGTGTTTCTGAAGCCATAGGCCTAAAGAAAAGGTGGGATCTACTGATCTCCATCTCAGGTTGCCTTTAGATAGGAACCTTCCAGGGATCCACGGGAAACCTCGTGTGAAAAGGCCGCATCATGAGGAATGTCCATGTTCAATGACAGATCTGTTGAGGCGATCTCCATATATTCTGCAGGACATCACCCGGACTTCTGGCGTATCGGATAGTCTCCGTGCACAAACAAAGCACTTGCAATGAAAGGTCCCAGACAAGTCCATAGATGCATTTCAGCTACACCTTGCACACTGAGCACAGGATCTTTCCGGGCCTCCGGGTTATTGGGGGTTTTCGACAATAGGGGTACCCTATTGGGGTCCTTATTATAAGGGAATCCTACTATTTGCGGGTTTATCGCAGGGTCCCTGATTATGGTAAACCCCCAATTAGAGTCCCACATTGACCTGGGCATCCGCGCGCAAAATTATACATCACTGCTAGGCACATCTTGTCCGTTGACAGGTAGATCACGGCTGGGTAGAACTGCTCATGGACGACAAATGCCTGGGACGTTTCGAGGATCGAGGGACGGAAGGGTGTACGCATGGAGGACAAATAGTTTCAAATAGCTACCGCGACTGGCGTCGTAAGAGCAACGCACGCGACAAACCACAACGATTTACGCGGATGCTTTGGAACAAACCTGGCTGGAAGATGTGATTTCAAACAACGCTTGCAACAGGAGCTTGCCAGGCGCGTGTGGCAAAAAATGGTGTGATTTCACAAGGGCAACTAGTCATAGACATGACTGTATGCACCGCGCACGAACAAGCTTGAAAGTGATATTTGAGCTCGGGGAGCTGAACCTCCTGAGCCCACATGGCCTTTCTGTTTGGAGTTGCAGGGCCCGCTTCGGTGGGCTCCCAGAGACCCAAATTGCTTATCACAGTTTGCCGGCGCTAAGCAACCTGCGGCAACAACACGCCCAGCAAAGACCTGCCATCAGGCGGTGCTCACAAAGCCACTTGCTTCGCACAGGCCCACCCGGAGCAGTGGAGCTCCTTCTCCCACCCCAAACAGGGCCTCCAAATCCAGGGCAATTGAAAACACATGCAAACTTCTAGATTCCAGCTCCCCGGCAAGAGCTTGACAGTCCAGAAGTTAAAGATGCCTTAGATTGAGGATTGAGGGCTGAGGGCTTTTAGTGACTCGCCTAGCCCTTCGAGTCGTCCTATCGAACCCACACATCCTTTCAAGAGAACCCATGCAAAACCGCAGAAACCGTCAGCCAGGGGGTAAGCCCCCCGCATGTGCGACGACGCCCGCCACCACGAGGGTGCTCAAGACGATGTAGGAAGAGAAGTTCATCTCGCCCTCTTCGGGGGCCGGTTAGAGATTGTTAAGATTCTCAGGCCAGGCGGGGGGGCAGTGGAGGGGTCGAACTGGGTTGGAACTTTGAGTCTGGTTGACAGGGCTGCGTGTTCAATGAGGTTCCAAGGACAACTTAGCCATCACCGCCATCACCCCCCCCCACCCCCCCCCACCTGCCCGCGGCTTTCGTCCACGCTGCCAGCCCATCGATTCGTTCAGAGGCAATCTTAACGTGTCGAAAGTTGAAATGCACCCCGTTCTGTGAGAACCCTCAAAAAAACTCCCTAAACCCTTGGGTGCCCCCAACGAAACCCCTGGAAGGCAATATTCGGACTCTTCCGACTCAGAAGACACCTCCCGGCCTTCACGCATGCAGGTCCCGCATCTATGGCACCAAACGTGGCTCGGGGAAAGATCGCCGGATGCCGCTCCTAGAGAGCTCCTTTCTGGAAGCGCTTTAACGTCCCTGTTCGGAGTGGTAAAAGGGGGTTAGAGAAGGGTCGGTCTGCTGGGTGGGTTGTAGGGCTTTGGGCTTCACCGGATCTAGCTTAGCCCCCGAATGCCCTGATGGGGGAAGATTGGACGCTGTGTCTGTCATGTGTCTCCGCTACTGAACCTTCAGGAGGCGGGCGGGCAAACCGTGGCAAACAAACACGGATGACCACGAACGAACCCCCCCCCCCCACAGTAGAAACTCTGCAACTAGATCGGCCTTCTGAGCTCAGGCTCCAGCGGCGTGCTTCTTATGAACCTCTGAGACCTCTTGCTGTGAAGCCCATGAACAGGGCACGGGGGTTCCAATGACAGTGGGCGGAACCCAAACCGAACCACAGGATGCCCTACACCCTAAACCCGAATCCCTAAACCCGAATCCCTAAACCCTAAGCCCTAAACCCTGTATGTGTCTGCTATCGTCTCTGATTCGAAGTGCCGAGGCGTTGCAGGCCTGTCATGAGGCTGCCCAGCGGAGCCAATCTTGCAGCCAGAAACTGAAGCAGTGATGCGGATAGTTCTCTATATTAGGATCCCTTTTTGGGTCCCTAGAAAGCACGGCACCTCATCAAAAGGACCCCCCAAAAGGGACCTTCATGTAGAGAACTACCCAGGTACAGTTGAGGGCTCAGGCTATCTCAGGCGAAGGGCCCATGCATACCTGCAATCTTACAGACACGACCATCCCACCGAAACAATCATCCTTAAACAACCTTACAAAAGACGTTCTCTGCAGTTCATGAAATTTGATAATTCGGAATGATACTAACAACAATAAACCCCAAGCCCCTCAAACCTCAACCCTAAACCCTCAACCCTCAACCCTCAACCCTCGAATTCCCTGGCTGGCAGTCGGAGTTCGGCTCCGCACGGGAAGCCACACGACTCGGTGGGTCGATGCGAATATGTACACAGGGCTGCGCCAGCCCCTGCGTGGAGTAAGGGGGTTGGGGTTATTCAACAAGGTTTAGGGTTTCGGGTTTAGGGTTTAGGGTTTAGGGGTTAGGCTTTGGGGGTTTAGGTGTGCTCGTTTTGGAGTTGAGGGCCATCATCTCGGGGGCCCTTGTGGCGGCTTTAGATTTTAAGGCTTGAAGGGCTTTAAGGTTCGAGGCTTCCCCCCCGAAACTTACTGTTGGTTAGGGATGAAGGCTTTGGCAGGGAAGCAAGTGGATTGGCCATGCCTTCGTCCCCTATTAACCCACAGAAAGGCATTTCGAGAAGCATAGTAAACATGCGTAACGCTTTCAGGGCCTGCCAGGGTTTACGGGCCTGCCAAGGCTCGAGCTTTATGGTTTAAGGGAAACCACGTATCCATGTCCTTCAGGAAGGACTTGCTATCTAATTGGCACGAATCTAAGAACCCCAACAAGAATCGCCGGCTTGGAAAACAGTACAGCGCTTCTGGTTCACAGGGGCATGCTCCCTAAGGCTTGAGCGTTCCCATACTGAGGAGGAGCTATTATTCATGGCTACGATTGGCATGACTATTGCGTCTTATAGTAATTACTACGAGCTGTGTGATGTACCTTTTGATTACTGGCTATCTCTATCGCCACGCTGGAGCCGGGTCACATGCTATCAAGTGGAACTTTGCCCCTCCAGCCCGTGCCGACGCGCGGCCGTGTCTGCAAGTCTGAGCACCGGCCGAAAAAGAGTTTGAGAATCCTAGCATTCTCGGTCCTCAGGGTCGTTAAGGCTGGGTTTAGGGTATAGGGTTTAGGGTTTAGGGTTTAGGGTTTAGGGTTTAGGGTCTCACAAGGAGCTCCGGGAGCTGCATGGCGGATCACAAAGGTAGCTTTAGACTTAGCTTTAGACTTCGCGCCCAGGAAGCTCCTATCGGGTCCAGTGAGCTTTGTACTCTCAAGAGACGACCCCGAAGGGTAGGTTTAGGGTTTAGGGCTAAGGGTTTAGGGTTTAGGGTTTAGGGTTTAGGGTTGATTGTCGAGGTTAAGGGCTTGGGGACCCTATTGAAGGATTCCTAAGGGGTAGAAAGGCCATATGAGTCGCGTTAAGGGGTACCTTAAGCAGCATCTATCGCCTAAGCCCTCCGATTCAGTTGTCCAGTACCTAGGGGAACTAAAGGTTAGCCTTTGGGATTATAAGGGGATCATATTGCCCCAAAAAGGTAAAGGTTACCTACTCTACAACTAAGAGAAGCCCTTTGGGGTAGCTGAAACAACGTTCGGCCCCGCCCGGCCACGCGTCAGGGCACGCAGCCGCAGCCTGACGGAAAGCGAGAGTGAGGGGGTTTGGACCGGGGGGTTTGGGTTTGGGGTTTAGGGTTTTGGGTTTTGGGTTTAGGGTTTTGGGTTTGGGGTTTGGGGTTTGGGGTTATGGGTTTTGGGGGCCCATTTGCCGATTATGCCTCTTCTGGCTACTGAAATCATGCAGAGACTGTAAGGTGACAGTATTGGATATTGCTTGGGCTGCCGAATTATACCAAGGCTCCGCATTCGCGCCCCACGGGTTGGAAGTTTAGCATAATCATTGGTATGAGGTTTGTGATTTCGGGCTTCGGTTTAGGGCCTATCCAGGGTTTTCATGTGGTGAAGAAGGCGTTTTCGTGAGCAAGCAAAGGCCTTCGGGCAAGGCCTACCTGAGCCAGAGATCACGAAGGGCTTAGGGTTCAGGATTTAGGGTTTAGGGTTTAGGGTGTAGAGATTCGGGTTTAGGGTTTAGGGTTTAGGGTCCCTCGTTTAAAATTATGATTAAGGCTTCCGCGCACATAGCGGGACAGAGATGCGGCCAAGAGGAATCATGCCCGCCGCACATCCCAACCTTTTCCTTGCGTAACTCTTTGGTGGCGACACTTGCACGGACGAAGTCCCTTCAAGAAACCAGTGGGATATCCCAGGGAATGCCCCTCCTTTTCCTCCTGTAACTTAAACCCTGTCCTAAATCCTAGGGTAACCACGGACCCAAAGCCAAAGTCTGCCTGGCTCTTAAACCCTAAACCCTAAACCCTAAACCCTAGACCTAAACCCTACAAGAGTTCAGCAGGCGCCTCACACCAGGGCTTTGACACAGGCGGCCGCAAAGCCAAGGGCCCCAGCAGCGGCGCCACCGGCGAGGACGTAGCCTCCACTCGGGTTTAGGGGTTTAGGGTTCGGGTTGATAGGGTTCAAGGGTTTAGGGTTTAGGGTGTAGGGTTTAGGGTTGAGAGTTGAGGGTTGATGGTTGAGGGTTGAGGGTCTATAGGATTTATAGGGTTTAGGATTTAGGGTTTAGGGTGTACGGCTTAGGTAGGGTTGAGAGTTGAGGGTTGATGGTTGAGGGTTGAGGGTTGAGGGTGTAGGGTTTATAGGATTATAGGGTTTAGGATTTAGGGTTTAGGGTGTACGGCTTAGGGTTTAGGGTTTAGGGTTTAGGGTCTAGGGTTTAGGGTTTAGGGCTTAGGGATGTTCCCCCTGAAACTAACAGTTCCTTAAAAGGATTCTAATGCGGGGGGGGTACTACAGTCCCTATTAAGGACTGTTAGTATAAGGGGCAACATCCCAAGTTTAGGGCTTCAAGGCTTGTTTAGGGGTTTGGGTGTAAGGGTTTAGGGCTTTCAGGTTCAGGGTTTAAGGTTTAGGGCTTTAAGGTTCAGGGTTTAAGGTTTATAGGCATCCTTAAGTAGATAGAATATTTGAAAACCCGAAAAAATGAAACCCCCCTTTCCAAAATGATAGATAGAATATCAAAAACCCCAAAACGTTAGATAGAATATTGGCCTAAAGTTTAGGGCCAAGGGGCGCACCGGGGTCAACTATATTCTATCTATGGGTTCCCTCTTTATGACAGCGTTTGAGGCTTTAAGGGGCTTTATGCTATATAGTGTAGGGCTCCAAACAGCCCAAAGTAGGCATCACGTGCAGACGCCTCTCTTGAGGCTTGCATAGCCTGAGAACCCTGGCCTAAAGTTTACGGCGGAGAGGCGCCTTCCGGGTCGGGGTTAACTATATTCTATCTATGGGTTCCAGGGCAGTTGGAGGTGCTCTCTTCGGGGGAGGGCGCAAGAAAAGCTATGGCACCGGTGTGGGTTTGGGGTGGGTGGGGGGCGGGATTTTGGGGGCCCCCAAATTACCCTCCCCTCCGGCGCAAACCTGAAAATACAAAAAATATTGTTTTGCATTTATGCCCCCCCCCCCCATGTTACATTTATTAAGGGGCGGGGGCTGTCGGGGTTAACAATATGCTGTCTGTGGGTTCCCAGGACTGGGGTGGCGGGGGTTGGGGGGGTGGGGGGTGGGGGTTGGGGGTTCCTCCTCTCCCGTCCTCTTCCTCTCGTCTTCTTACACAAGGATATTCTATCAATGGGTTCGGCACGCACAGAATTTCGCCAAAAAACAGCTAGCCATTCCAAAACACCATCTATTCCAGGATGACTATACACGTGTCAAGACCCCAGCGGACCTGAGCGATTGCGGGGTTTTTCAGGAACCCATAGATAGAATCTTGAAACCCATAGATAGAATATGTGCGCAGGAGGCCGAAAACGGGCGTTCTTTCGGGGTCCCGAAAAT